TGAAAGCCGGGGCTGCAGCTCCTGATGGCAGCTGTAAGGGACGCCGTGTGCCCCTTACAGCTGCCATCAGGCACCCCCCATCAGTTGGCGCCCTGGGCAGCTGCCCGGCTCGCCCATGCCTCCATCCGGCCCTGCCTGGAGGTAGAGCAGTGCTGGTGATGAATGGTCATTACAGACTACAGTTTGCCCCTGAGGCAGGGGCTAAGCCGGGGCTGCAGCTCCTGATGGCAGCTGTAAGGGACGCCGTGTGCCCCTTACAGCTGCCATCAGGCACCCCCCATCAGTTGGCGCCCTGGGCAGCTGCCCGGCTCGCCCATGCCTCCATCCGGCCCTGCCTGGAGGTAGAGCAGTGCTGGTGATGAATGGTCATTACAGACTACAGTTTGCCCCTGAGGCAGGGGCTAGTTGAAGACTGACAGTGGGTCACTGATGCAAGGTGGGTACCGGGGAACTGGGTATTCCCTGGGGAAAGAACTGAGTGGCCCTTGGGAGGGGAGGACCCTGGAATGCGCAGTTGGGTAAACAGCACCCCCTGGAAGGGGACTCAGAGAGACTGGAGTGGGAATTGTTGGAGGGCAGTGTCCTGAAGAGGATGCTGGGGTCAAAGAGAAATACAGGGAGACACCACTTAGAGCAAAGCGTCCAGTGAGACAAGCGAGCTAATTCCCAGGACTGCTGACTGGAGGCGCCATGGTGGAGAGTCTGCCCCACGACAGTGATACATTGTTCAGATTCTTCAAGTGCATATTAGTTTTGTCCATAAAGAAATGACCTCATTATGCAAACAACTACTGAATTGTCCTCTATGTATTTCAGAAGAAATACAATAAGTAAACAGATGGGCTACAGCACCTTAATACATAATGCATGAAACTAGGTGAGCAAATAAAATCATAATTCAATCACCTAATTTCATTGTTCTTTGACAATCATAAATGGGTTGTTCCCAGTTTATATCTTCTCTTCCTTCTTTCTATCAAGGCAAAAAGGATAAGACAGATCCTTAGCTAGTCTAACTCAGTGTAGCACAATAGGCTTCAGTGGAGCTACACTGATTTACACCAAGTGTGGACTGGGACCCATGATACTATATGAATGCTGGACTTCATGCTCCTCTGTGTATCTTCCACACTCTGACATAAAAAAATTCAAACAGCCTACTGTTTTATTAAAAGACTGACAAAATGGTTGAGATTTCCAAACAATGTATGGGATTTGGGTGGCCAATTCCTATCAGAAATTAATGAAGCTCCTCAGGCAGTGCTGGAAATTGTTCCCAATGAAGAAGCAAGTCTGCATATGCAGCCCAATATTTAATACTCCCACCTTGTTACCTACCGTGCCATATAGCCTAAGACATATGCACGGATAATCATGGCTGCCTTGGTAATTTCTACCTCTCTTTGCTTCTCCAGCTTGTTTTCTAAGGACTCCCGAAGAAAGACCTATGCAAGAAAAGTGCTGGCGTAAATGAATTCAGCTACCACAGTGATGAATGTCTTACAAATCCACATGAACATAATAATGACAATAGTAAAGGACTGTTAGGATACAAGGTAATATAGACAATCTGATGGCACAGCTGACATTGATGGAGGAATTTAGAATTCAATATATACATATTTTCCTAAAAGGAAAAGAACACTTTTCTCTTAAAAACAAGAAAACCCCCCAAAATGGCAACTCCTCCTCCTCCGTCCCATGAGATCCTAATCCTAATAAAGTCAATGGTAATTTTCCCTTGGACTTAAACTGGTCCAGGTTTTTACCAAAATTATCTACTAACTAATGAGTAGATAATTATTGCTAGACTGATTATTACTGACTTCTTTTTAACCAGCGCGATCCTTCTGAAAATTAATACACAAAAAAGAATTATGGCTCAGTAATGTGAAGTGCCTGACTTACACTGACAGAGCCAGAAAATTTAGCCTTGAGTCTTAAACTGCTTCAGAACAACAATAAATTACTACAAATTCTTAGAGGGCCCATTCTACAGACTTCTTTTGCCAGATCACAAATCAAATCAATAGGAGTAGCACATATGTAAATCAAAGCAGTTTTAGGGTTAGGGGCTTGACTAAGGAGCAGATTTTTGCTCTGTTAAGCAGAAACAACGTAGTACTTCCACTCACTTCTTTTCAAGCTCCTTAGATGTGTTACAGAATGGATAGCACTGTTAAATGTAAATGTTTACTATAGAAAGTCTCAATGAAATCAATGAGATTTTCCAAGTTTTTGTATATGGTGTCCTTGAAATAGATTCATTAAGGTAAAAACACAACAACAAAGCTCTTCACAAATATTTCTAATGGACAATTGACAATGCAGCCAACTTTATCTATGAGTCTGTTAACCCCTCATTTCATTGCACAAGGCCCACCTACATCAGTGGGAGGTTACACTTTATAGCAATGTTTCTTAAACTGTGTTCCGTGGCACACCGGTGTGCCATGAGGCAGTTGGAGGTGTGCTGCGGAGAACAACAGAGTTAAAAATGGCTGCCCTTAAAGGGGCAGGCAACTTTTTTTTCCCAAACAAAAAATCCTTGGTTTTCCTCATAAAAAAATATTGTTTGGTGTTCCTCGGTCTTAAAAAAGTTTAAGAAACACTGCTTTATAGTATATTCCCTAGTACTCTGCCAGTATACTTTTAATTGTTTCTTGGATGCCCATAAATGTGGAATATCTATGCATACCAGCGATGTAACGCCCCGGGATGGCATACCGGCACCTATTTTCCTATCATACTTTAATTGAATGGGATTCCCCTCTGGTTTACCGGCACCTATTTCCAGGTGTGTCTTGAGTTCCGACGGCAGCCCACTCGGAACACGTGGTGCGGCTGTTAAAGAGGTTTTTACGTGATTTAGAATACATGGGGCATCAATTCACAGGAAGGATGGAATCTCTGCTAAGGCCTGTTTGAGATCAAGCTTTTTTCCTCTGTGTTGTAGTCAAACAAAAAACAAAAACAAAAACAAAAAAAATGTGGGGGTTTGGTTCCTCAAACTGAAATGTTTCATAAACATTTTTTTGAAATGATCCGGCATAGAAAAAATGCAGAAGTGAGAGTTAGCTATCTAACAATATGAATGTCCAGTTTCAGCACAGTATAAATATCAAGTCCATTTTTCCCACCCTTCAGAATATTGAGTAAAGTCAATCGGATCAGAATTTCACCCACTAAGAAGAACCATATTCTGTAAACAACAACATAGGAATGAATAGGTCTTCTTGCTGAGAAAGGTACTGCTATGTATGCATGAGGGTAAGAGAATCTAGGCATGAACGTTCTAGGCCCTGATCCCATAAACACATGTGCACTTGAATTGTTTTACTTACATGTTTAGTGGTACTGGACTCAAATGGTGTACTTTCTATGAATAAATCTATGTGTGCACACAAATCTTTTCATCATCAGAATCTGCAGCTGTACAATTGGGAGCAAATTACTGTCCTCAGGTGCCTATTAACAACAGCCATAGAATTAAAGAGGGCAACTATCTAGTAAAATTATTTTACCTTATTTTTTCCAAGCTGCCATTCTGTACATGTATTGTCATACAGATGAAGAAGGACGGCACATTTCTCTGTTAAATCTTCAGGCAGAGTCAAATTTCTCATTAGGACTTTATACCTGACCACCACAATAAATTAATTAATTAATTAATTTAATTACTTATCTCTTAATTTGACAATAGAACTCCTCCTCCCCGCCCCTCCATTTCATTAGGTTTTTAATCTCCTCCACTGAGAGCATGAGCTCACTGTCCAGGATTTATGCTTGTTTCACACAACTGTCCCACAGCACGTTTACCTTTTATAAAAATCTTGAAACTGTCTTCTCACTGGAAAGCCAGCCCTTCGTATCCTCACTGTCTCCAGCATCCCAGAATAATGTAGCTGGTTAAGCACCACAGTCTGGTCGAACTGATCCGGCATCTAAAACATATTTTTAAAATGAAAACAACAACAAAAATCAACAGTAACATGGTCTCTAGCAAATTTGTAATGGAGGAAGGGAAGGATCTGAGATGACGGTTGGGTGCAGAAGGGAGATTGGTTTAAGGGGCTGGCATGCAGAAGGGAAAGTGGGGTCTGGGAGGGAGTTCGGGTGGTGGAGAGGGTTTTAGCTCGGCACGGCACTGCAGCGTGATCAGCGCATGCGCAGTGCTATCTCTGCATGCGCAGCGTGCCAAACCGCGCGGCTGGCGAGCAGAGTTCGCCGCTGCTTTTCAAGCCCTGATTATTACAGAGAAGTGGCTGAGTGGACAAATAAGGGACTGCGGGTTTATGACTACTGAGAGCTCTTGCATATATGAATGCAGGAGCAGGGCAGAGAGCTTGGGTATGTAGAGTAGGGGGGGAAGGAATGGCGGGCAGAAGATTGGAGGAAGGAGGGGCTGAGGCGCCAAAGGCAGGCTGTGGCCAGGAGACTTATCTGAGTGACTCCTGACCAGCAGCCCAGCACATTTCTCAGGTAGGCAGGCAGGGAGCCTGCCCTGTCCCTGCAAAGGTTGCAGGGTCATGTGCACGTGTGAATAATTATGAGCTAGAGGGGAGGAGGATGTAGTGCTTCGTGTGCTGCCTGTTATTCAAACAGGCAACTCCCATTGGCCCATTTCTGGCCAGAAACGGGCCAATGAGATTGTGCTGGGTCCACAGGCAGTGCCTGAAGCCTTCCCCCCTCCCCTCTGGGCTCAAAGTTTTTAAGAGAAACGGCCCAGCAGCGATTTTCTGAGCAGTGCATGGGTAAGGTGAGGCAAGCAAGCAGCCTGCCTTGGGCTCCTCGCAGATTCCGCAGGCTGGATCCGGTGGGTTGGTGGGCCAGATCCATCCCACGGGCCATATCTGGTCTACGTCTAGTATAAGGTGTCTCTCCTGCAAACTGAACCTGAGCACCCTGGTCCCAGTATATATATGTGCTTGTCTATATAAGGCGAATAATTCTATTGAGTTCAGTGGAGCTACTTGCTTACAGTAAAACACTTGCTCAAATGCTTTGCTGGTAGAGGCCATCTACCTGAGTAAGCCTGGAGTACAGAGTATGGCACATACAGCTAACTGATAGAGTATTCAGCTCCTAGTGCAGTTAATGGACATCAGTATTCTTAGGAAAACAGTCTCAGAATAATTATTTTAGAGCTGCACTACTTCATTCAATTAAATATCTTCTGTTGCTTCCTTCACAATTAAACTAATTTATTAGTTTTATGTTGTGCTTACTAGATGTTTAAAACAAAGCAAAATAGGTACAGAAAGTAACTTTAAAAATATTAATTTCAACCTCTTTCTCCCACAAAAAGCAATCACCATTTAAAATAAAAATAAGTGAATACCACAATAATCTTCCTTTCCTTCCTTCCTCTCACATAGTACTATTTTATCATGTTTATCTGTGGGCAGTAAAAATATTCTGAACCAAACTCCATAGTCCAAAGAGCTTTATAGAGTTCAGAAACACCATTTTACAAACATTGTAAGTACATTTCACCCTCCTCTATGCCAGACAGAGGCCAAAATTAATATGAAAAACAACAGCCACACTCACCTTTTCTCCACAGCCTATGACACTGAACAATAATGAACACCATTCCTATGCTTTAAAAAGTGCTCAGTCACCATAGCAACCCCTCCCATTCTCAGGATAATTAATGTGGTGTGGCTGCAAGATTTGATAAGGCATTAGAGAGAGAAGAGTGAGCCAGTAAGAAATTCAGCCACTAAAATCTACTTCTCTTTCAGCACTGAGATTGGATATCTATGACTCTGACACCGATTTACCTAGTGGGGTGAAGAATCTATAAAAATTGCTCTCATCATGCCAGGCATTATTTTATTAATTTATTCCTGTTACTACTAGTATGATTGTTTCACTGTTTTACCTTCCTTCATCCCCATGAAATTTAATGTTCTTGAAAATAAAGGATCTATAATCTGGGTGAAAATAGACTTTTGAAAGTGCCAGCCACATTTGTAACTGCATCTCAAGCTTGATTTTCAGTATCCTCTTAACCTATATATTTGTCTTTTATTTGAGAGCACTATGTAAATGTTAACAGCAGCATTAACATTACACACTTTCCAAGTATGCTTTCCAGAAGTATCCGAGATACACTGGTTTGATGATGTGGACACGTGCATTGTGTGGTTGAGATTCAGGAGCAATTCTGGACTAGTCTTGCAAAATTGTCATTAAAATGTATCAATCTAGACACAAAATCTGCTTGCCCTCATCTTCCCTGATGATTGACAATCATGAAGACCAACAAACAGGATTTTTAATTCATCTGTCAAAATAATGTGGATATGAGGAGTTTTGCAAGACTGCTTTACAATAACTACAGTCTTGCAATGATTTACAGTATTGCCAAACCCAAGTATTTAACATTTATGAGATCAGGCCATAAAAGTAGTTTGAAAATGTGATTTGGGGGGGGGGGGGGGATAAGCCTTTAGGGAGGAAATTATATATTCAAACTTTTTTTTCCCTCCTGAAGCCCTGAGGGCTAGAAACATGTATTTTTTTAAAATGAAAGCTAAGATTCTCAAGTTATCAGCTGACTCCAGCAGCAAGGTCTTTTAAGAAAAATACCAAATGTAATTAGAGCTGGCAACCCTAACAGCACCTAAGCGCTCTGAGCTATTTTATCACATAACAACCTCCTTCAATTTATGCTACTAATTTTTTAAGAATTTACTAAAACATTGGGTGCCAAATTCATCCCTGGAGTTAATGTCCCTCTGACATTAATTGAGTTAAAGTAGTAACTAAACCGTTAAAAAGTACAGTATAGTTATTGTTTCAAGGGATTCTACCATTACATAACGCTAGTTTTGTCAATAAATTTCATAAAGCAACTGCCTGCTGTGTGACATGAACTACCTGGGCCCGTGGAAGCAGTGAACTTCATTGTCCTGAGGGAGAGCTGCTGGCTATTCTGCTCTCCAGAACATTTCCCCCCCTTCATTTCTAAGCAGTAATATCGGCTTTGACAAGACAAGAAGCTGACAGGGGTGCTCTCAAACTGCCGGTGAGGGACAAGACATTTAAGCATATCCACTATTTTACATTTAGAAGTAAAACAGCTAAAAGAAACACTAAGTCCTAAGCACAATGTATTACAATGCAGCATATACATAGAAAAGTATCATTTTAAGCATCATAATCTTATTAACTATCTAGCAGACTCATTCAAAACTTATTCAAAGACATAAAGCACCGAAACCTTATGAGACAATAATAAATATATCTTACTATTTATTATTTGTATTGTTGTAGCATTTAGCATCCTAAGTCATGGACCATGGCCACTGTGGTAGGCATTGTAGACAGACCAATAGACAAGGTAGGTAATTCATTTCCTTCTTTAGCCAAGAGAACTTTACAAACTATAGCCCTAATCCTGCAAACACTTACGTCTTAAATTATTGGGATTATTTGTGCTGTTTGTGCTTGTGAAACTGGATGCTAAATAATATATATACACTACTATTAAAATGCAGTCAGTTCTGAGATTGAAAATGGTGGCCAACCATAACTTGAACTACAAAAGTATGTTCACTTGAGCGTAAACAGTGTTTACTTCATGCATTGGGCTAGATTCCCAGCTTGAAGAGGGTCTGCTCAGATTTCACCTACACTAGTCTAAGTCTGAAATAACACGAGTAGAGTACTTCCAGATTTAAATCAGGGTAATGTGAGGGCAGATTTGGCCCTGGACGCCAGTAGACTAAGAGAGCGAGAGAGAGAGACTTCTTTGATCACTACTGCTTTCAAAATTTAATTTATAAACACACACATAAAGACTGGATTTTGTGAAGTATTTTAAAGGGGCCAGAACCAAAATTCATTTATTCTAGAACACCGTATTGAAAATACAGTAAAAATTAATAACATACTAAAAATAAAACTAGTCTAAAATATGAACATTCTAGCAAACTCAGAAAAGCAATTAGATTCAACTTAAGGCTCTCAAAGCCCCTTATTCTGATATGATCAACATAAAAAAAGTCAATTTCCAAAAATGAATTAAAATTATTTCATCTTCTGTACCATCCCTGTATGCCTGTATACTGTCTTTCCTTCCTTTTTAGTAATCATGTTTTTCCCTCCCCCATTGCTCTGTGAAAGACCCACATAAACAAAAGAGGAAAAAGACTTTATGCCAAATAATTGTCAAAGGACAAACTTTGACAATTATTTGGCATAAAGCACTGAAAAAATTCATAAAATAAAGTGAAGCAAATGGTTTTTTCTCATCTTTCATTACAGGAATCTTAGAAGTTATTGTAACAATAGCATATTAAGAGTTTCCAAAGGACACATTTTTTTATTTTTAAACTGAGCATCCCTTTAACTTGACTTACTGGCACCTATTCAATGCTGCACACAAGATCCATTATTAAATATTTAGTCCATCAGCCCACAGTCCATGTTGAAAAAATAATTACTCATCAGTGATCAAAGTAAGCAGTGCTAGGGGCTACTCTGACAGAGGATCACATGAAACTGCACTAACAGGCCAAACTGTTTTAATAAAAATATCACATTTAAGGCAGTGAGGGAACCTCAACTTGGATCTTCCCTGGTTTTAGTGGCTGCATGTAAGAACTGTTCTGTTGGATACTGGGTTTTTGTTGTTTTCCTCCTCATCTTCTAAAGTACAACCTGCATTTTATCAGTTTGTCATATCCATGGATCTCCAATGTATTTGTGTCAGAAGACACTAAAGCAGGGGTGGGCAATAATTTTTGTGGGCGTCGGACCGCTCAACGCAGAAAAGAGCGCGAACGGCGCGAGACACTTCTGCGCATGCGCGGTCCTCCAGAGGGGGCTACTGCTGGCAAAAACTCTCCGTTTGCGGCACCGGGACGAGCCCGACAACTTCAGTGGAGCACCCATGGGGACATCACTCGAAGAAGAAGTAGCAGTTCAGCAG